GGGCATTAATAACAAAAGTAATAAAAAATAAAATTAAAATAAGTTTATAGCCAAAATAATTAAAGCCCGTACACTACATCAGATTTTAATCAGATTGAATATTTTCAAAAGTTATTTTCTGTCAATTATGTTTGTGCTATTTTGTGTATAGTGATTTAAGAAGGTCTCATGCCATTAATCAACCAATGGCCGCTGCATGCCTCGCAAGAACAAATTCCTTGCAAGAACCAATGAAATTATTTTAATATTTTTTTTCTCAAATGTTCCCTGTTTGAGGGCATGATCACCTGAGTCAAAGGTGAGACTAACATGTGGTCTTTTGTTTACTACTTAGCGTCTGTGTACTTGTGGGTTTATTCTGTGTGTATTTGTATGTTCTAATGATTTTTTTCCAGTGATTTCTCTAGGTGCAATCCAAATACCGTAGGTGTGTCTTGTTTACCTGAGATTTGTAAGACTTTGAGCTGGCCAACATGTTAGTTTTTTTCATGTGGTTGATTACTGGCATGTTGATTTCCCATTTTTGAGCCATGTTTTCAACTTTGTTTATCATTTTCATATAGCAATCTCGTCATATGTTAACAGTGTCATCTATGGAGTTTCAATTAGTGGTATGAGCCCTGAAATGACAGATTGCCTAGGACCACCTGATTATGGCTCTATTCACTGGAATTTAGTCATTTTTGGCAGATCTCATCTTACATTACTTATTATAAATTTTGACCTCTCCTGACCTTGCATAGATCTGATAATTATGAGGTTGTGTGTTCAAGCACACATTTCATGAGATCAGCTCGATTTATTTGGCAGGTGTTGTGCAAAGTAACTGGGAATCTTTTTTATTTTTATTTTACCACTTTTCTTGCTTTGTATTCAACTATTTAGACACAATGGAGTATTTTTTTATCAAGAAATGTCATATTTTGCTATGTATTTCACCTATTGCTGTCAATCTCTTATATTTTGGTTGAAGATTTTGAAAATTTGTAATTCTGTATATATTTTGCCCTAATCTAATTAATTTGATTTAGATTGGGCTGTGGTCTGTAAATATAAATGTTTTTATAAAACTGGTTCAAAAATTTTATTCATTCATCAATGAATTATTCATGTCACCACTAATTTTAATGGCTCTAGGAATTCTGAGAAAAATGCTTAACCCCATTTTATGTTTATTTTTTCTTATTTTCTTCACATTATGGCAGAAAATTTTAACAATTTGTAGTGTGGTCATTACTAATGTACCCTATTCAAAGTTTAATGAGGTCAAACTTCTAAATATTCAAATAAATTCACAAAATTGTGTTGTGTATCTTGTCACTGAAAAGAGATTTGCATACTGTCAGTATATTAGCCAAGTATGCCAAGTACTACAACTCTTTCAATTTCACAATTATTGCTCTATTCTCAGAATTTTTGTGAATAGTTTGCTAATTAGTCCCATCTTGAGTTTATTATTGAACAGTGCTTGTAACCCTCCCTCCCAAAAATTAATCAGAAATGCTGTTGATTTGAATTTATTTTGATCATGGATGTGTAATATGAGTATTTTATATCTAGATCCTTTTCTGGTTGGTATATTTTTATTTATTTCTAAATCTTAAAATTGTTTCTTTGAACTACTTTTTTTTACATAAGATTTGATAAGTTTTTTATGTAGAGCAAATTCCATGTGTGGCCATGGTAAATCAAACCACTGTTGTGTTTTGGTATATCCAAGGTTGGCCGTCACAGGTCTCTGGCCTAAATGCAGATGCCATGGAATTGTTTTTTGTTTTTAATTAATTGGAGAAATAATGAGCTGATGAATTGAGACTTTTGATTCAGTAGAATTTTTTTTTTTATAATTATAGTGATAAACTACCTTTAATTGTCATAATTCTATGTATTATTTTTAGAAATTAATTAAAATTACTAATAATGCCAAATGTTGGTCTGTACTTGTATGTGGTGAATGAGAACATTATACCTTACAGTACTGCATCTAATAATCAGGCTTATATTCATTGCCTATAATCTAATTTGGTGTTATGCTGAGTGTGTATGTTGCCAATTTCTGGGTATAGGGCGCCACCAAGTGGTAGATTTTTAAATAACTCCCAGGGTTAAAATTTTGGGGATTTTTTTTGCATGGGAAATCACTCATCTAATTATATTCCATCATATACAAGATCAATAAGAACTTTATTAAACCTTTTTATTTCTCTGAATAAATTGAAAATATAATAAATTAGTTGACTTTATTTTTTAAAATTACAGTCAAATTTATTGAAAATAAACAGCAACAAAGTAAGCAGGACTTGTTTCATAGTTGTGACCAAGTCAATATCATTTACATTTATTTACCCAGCATGCTCTGTTGTTGTGAAACATTCACTGGGAGCTGTACATCTCACCTTACTATTGATTTCGTAGCGCTAATTACTACTATGAGTGTTGACCCTTTGAATAGTGCATTTATCCCCAAAAAACACTTTAAAAAGTATATACATCATGAATTATGTGACCGTGACTGGTATATGTAATAAAATTAAAAGTCATGGTTGTTGTTTTTTTCTTAACCTTTTCACCACCAGTTCCCTCTTTTCATCACAAATTCACAAAATAGTCCTGTTTATAGTTTGCACTTTCCTTCAGGAGATTGGGACAAAAATAGCAAAAATTGTTGAGTTAAAACTCTATTGGCTCCAAAATTAGGGTTCATTTCCAGAAATATTGAA